TATTATTATTATTATTATTATTATTATTATTATTATTATTATTATTATTATTATTATTATTATTATTATTATTTATTAATATTACAGGATCCATTAAAGTAGTAGTAGGAAGAAAACGAGGGGGAGGAGGAGGAGGAAGAGGAAGGAGAGTAGGACGACGATAATGATTATTATTATTATTAAGAATATCTTCTCTTAATGCTTTTATATATTCAGGATCCATTAAAGTAATAGTAGGACGACGGCGATTATTATTATTACTAGAAATATCAGATATTTTTAAAGACGCGAAGTTTTGTACAAGAGACTCCATTATCTATATAAAATGCAAAAAATATTTTATTATTAATTATATAAAAATAAAGGTAAAAAGAGAAAGGTGAAGAAGGTGAGAGAAGAGAAAAAACGCGTTATTTCTCTTTTTTTATTCTCCTTGAAGATGAGGGAAGAGAAAAAACGCGTTATTTCTCTTCCTTCATTCATTCTCCTTGAAGGTGGGGGAAGAAAAAACGCGTTATTTCTCTTCCTTCATTCATTCTCCTTGAAGGTGGGGGAAGAAAAAACGCGTTATTTCTCTTCCTTCATTCATTCTCCTTGAAGGTGGGGGAAGAAAAAACGCGTTGTTCCTTTCTTTCTCCATGCACATAAACGTGCGTACACGCTTCCCTACTCGTTACTAACCGCTTGACTAAATAAATGTGTAAAAACCGTAAAAGGTGATCCATCAAAAAATATCAAATCACTCTCTTATAGACGTTATACACGTGAATAGATATTGAACTAATTGGATTTTTATTTGTTTAGTGTAGATAACACTAATTTGAGAAACAAAAAAACTCATCAGCAATAACCCATAATTAATGAGCAAAAGTTAGCTACCTCTTCTCTTTTTTATAAGATATAACCAATTTTCCATCTCTGCTCTTGCATTCGCTCCTTCCACAACACCTATAACGGGAAAAGAAAATGTCAAATGATTACAGGTAGGTGTTTGACGTTTCATTTGGATGTTAACCAGGATTAAATTGCGTATAACGAGATCATCAAATAAATGTTTCGCTTCATCTATTGTTAGAAGCTTTTTTCGTTGTTCTTTATAAATATCCAACTCCTTGAAGCGAATATTTGCTGATTTTGACTGTGAAAAGATCTCAATAATATCTTTTCGCGAAATCATAACATTTCTAAATTTTACGAGTTCTTTTGCTATCTCCAACATCTTTATAGCAGAATCTTTAACATTATAGCTTTCTGCATTATCTTTTATACGCAAGATACAGTTGTCGCAATTACTACACGAGGGTGGCAAAACATCATTTTCCCAAGCATGATATGCAGCTAGTGATATACGTCGACAATCGTACATCGATTCGCAGTAAAACACCACCTCCCAAATTCTTTTTTGCTTTTCTACAAGTTCTTCATGTCTTATTTCCTCGTCATCCGTTGTAACTTCTTGCAAACTAGTCAAGATTGAAATAAATAAGAAAATTTGTACAATAATGAGCATGCCATTTATCAGGTGATACTTTTTTATTATAGATACCTTCTCCCTCACCCACCTGATATTTTTTAATTATCAATTATTAGTACCTGATAGATTGTTATCCACCCCAAAAAAATCACCTGGTAATGGCACTTCCCTAATATAGTCTAAGTAAAAATTTGATCTCACCTTTCTCGATTTCCAGAAACTATTCTGTATAAAATCTTGATGTCCTGTCGTGAATAAATATTACACTTTTTGCCCGTAATCCATCGCGTCCAGCTCGACCAGTTTCCTGAATCATATTACCTAATAATAGATATTTAAATAACAAATCTTCTAAATTATATAATATCATTTTATTAACTTTATATTTAAAACTTACTCATATTTAATGGAAAAGTCCAATGAATAACAATACGAACATCAAGAGTATTCATTCCCATTCCCAAGGTATTGGTGGCAATTATAACTTTGATAAATCCCTTATTCCATTTCAAGAATGATTCACGTTTCTCCGAATCTTTCAATCCACCGTGGTATTCACCAATTTCTTCATTTGGAAATTGTTCGCGCCAGTTTAAGACAGTCACATGATTATTAGCGAACCACTTCTTCGTTTTACCCACGGTATGTTTAGGATCATTATCCTGTTGAAAATAATATCATTTAGCCTTAAATTATATAAATCTAGCGAGAAAAACAATTAATTTGAAAGAATTTGCCAGTAATATGCGCTATCCATTGTTCCAACAATCTTACGAAGATAACCAGTACCCTGAATACCAAAACATCCCCATACCATTATACTGCCACCACCAAACTTCATTGTAGGTTTAATAT